CAAATCAAACATCACGAAACTGGAGAGGTTGACAATCAAAACCCTACATAGGAATGATAACATCATCATGCTACCAGCTCACAAAGACAATGCTACTGTAGTGATGACAAAACGAGACAAACAGAAAAACTAGAAGACCTCATTAGAAGCGGTAACTATAATAAACAAAGATCGAACAATGAAAACAGAACGAATGTTGTCGCAGATCCTAATCAAGAACAAGGAACACTTCCCACCTAAGCTGTACAAACAGTTGTCACAATAAGCTACCTCACATATACGATATCTCCAAAATTCACAAAGACGGTATTTCGTTCAAGCCAGCTGTTAGCTGAATCGCTTCCTTGTGGATATAATTGACTCATTACTAAGAAAGTCACCATCATATGTTCGAAACTCCGCCGAATTTATGGAAATAATCAAAGATACTCCCACCCAATCCAACCAGACGGTGAGCCTGGACAATTTGTTCATCAAGGAACCCACGGAGGAGGCACTATCGGTAGTGAGCGACAGCCTAGCCTCGGACTTAACCCTAGGAGAACGTACCAGTACAATTGATAACCTGATGAAGATGCTAACTTTCTGTACCCAAGCAACACACTTCGAAATGGGATCAGACATATCGACAGGATAAAGGTTTAGTAATCGGCTCGCCACTATTACCAGCAATGGCTAACATATACATGAAATACCTAGAGGGAATGGCATTAGAATCAACATCACTAAAGCCAACTCTATGGCTGAAATACGTAGCTGATACCTTCATACTCTGACTGCACTAGGAAGAGGCCCAGTTACTACTGGATTATGTGAACTGTGAGTATCATTGATACGGTTCCCAATGGAGAAAGAAAGCACCACACTAATATCTCGAACACAGGATGGGTTCATGACATCCGTGTAGTGCAAGCCAACATTCAACGAACTAATACCTCAACTTCAAATCCTGCCACCCATACAGTGTAAAGAAAAGGATCGTCCGCTGCTTACAACATCGAGCAAAAGTCATGAGAGGCGACACCGAGAAATATGGACGAGAAATGGTCAGTGTAATCAGTATTCTACAATCTAACAACTACCCTGGGTACATGACAGCAGCCCTGACAAACTGGGATAACAAGAGGTAACAACACTCAGAAATCTACCTCGGTCTGCCACCCTATGTGAAAGGATTATCGAAAAAATATAAAAGATCTGTGATCCATATAACATCAGGACGACTTTCAAAAGTGGTACAACAATTCGCAGACACCTTTTCCGAGTAAGACCATCCCATAGAGGAGAACATGACTAAGAACTGTGTGTTCGTCATCCCGTGCAGCGGTGGCAAGAAATATAAACAGGCCGCTCCCTTTAGACAAGTCTGCAGGAACACTGTAAAGCCGTAACACGAGGGGAAGTAGAAAAATCGGACGTGGCTGACCATATATGGAGGGAAAAGGGAAAACATCGACCTCTGTGAGATGAGGTTGAAATAATAAACAGAGAACATCACTAGTAAATACGAAAACGTAAGGAGTCAGCGCGTATGCTAAAGTACAAAAATCTTCTAAGTCGGTCAAGCATAGATATGAATACAATATGGGAACCATTGATAAGGGTTGCTAGAGAAAAACAATATTAACAACAAATTGTAATATGAGCTCTGGTAAAAAAAAATGATACTGAGACATTAACTTTATAAGTTCTAAAATTCATACACTGATGTCCTGAATGACACATAGCTCAGTGGACAAAGACGTTGGCTGAAGTAATACAGATCTATGAGTTCAATACCAGGCTACAGCAGAGGTAAACAATAACTTGCAGAGTTGAGTTAATGGGAAATAATTGATATTGAGATATCCGGAAGTAGCATGGCACGTGGAACTAGGGTAGAACACACTATCCCGGTGAACGAAATAAAGGGTTCACTTTGAAGTTTCAATCACCGGATGAAGACTAGAGCGTACAACGACCGAAACGTCGTGAATATGACAACAAAGATGAGGACAACAGTAAATAATTACAATACCTCATCTCAAAAATATATTAGATATATTTACTAGTTGTTTCTCTTTGCCTGTCTTGTCTTCACTATACCCTATCAGTGTTAAATTCTCCAAGCCCTCTTTCCTCATTAGGACTCCTAGAAATTTCAACTCCCTTTTGATTCTCAATATAAGTGTCATTTTTATTTCCATTTTCCCTAAAACATCCTCATTTTGTCCATGGTATTCTCAGCATCCTTCTGCAGATCTTTTTGAATGACTGAAGGCGTCATAGTGGACTATATCTTTGGAACTACGTTTTTCTTCAACGACTTTATTGATATCATCTGTTATCAGCTCGGTATCTAAGCTATTGTCATAACTATCTACTCCTGTCTTAATGGTAAACTTGATCAGTTCGATAAGGCCATATTAGAAGTTGATCTAAAAAATGACATACAATCTGTTGCTAACCGGAGCAATGAATGGCTTGTTAATTTTAACGCCTCCAAAACGAAACTGTTCTGACAGAACCCTTTTTGCCGTCCATCATCATGGCTGATGCTAACCTCCAGGAGAGTAACTCTTCGCGCCTTCCTGAGCTAACATTTTTCCACTAACACGAAGTGGAAAAATTATATTGAATCAATTGCTAGGTCTACTGCTAGGAGAATTGGTCCACCGTGTCGTACTCGGCATCTTTTCTCGACAGAAATTATCTTACATATTTATAAGTCCTTGCATTGAATACTGCTGTCACATATCGTCTCGTGCTTCTGCTATGTATTTAGAGACTTTGAATAAGATACAAACAAGGATCTGCAATGTTATTGGTTCTGACCTGACATTTCAGATTCAGTCACTTTCCAACCGCCATAACCTAGCTTTCCTGTGCCTTTTCTATAAACACTTTCATGGTAATTGCTCTGATTAAATTTCGCCTTTAGTACCTAGAGTTTATGGATTTAGATTGGCGGCAAGGTCTCATCATTTTACAGTTGAAGTGGTTAGATGTAACCGCAAGTTCTATGTTAACAGTTTCTTCTATCGTACTTCTCGCTTGTGTTTCTTGCTTTGTAGTCAAGTTTGATTTTAAAAGCTGAAATGCAATCGTTACCTTCTTAATTGCTGTTCTTATATCGTTCTCCTCCTCAGTACTGTTTTCTTTTTGCTAATATTCTCGCACATTCAGCAATCTCTTGCGAGTTAGTGTTTTTATTTTTTTACTTCGAGTGAAATGATTCAAATAAAAGATTTCTTTTCGTGCAAGTCTTCTCTTTATCTGTGAGGAAATTGTCCCGCATTCGCTGCCATATTGGAATATTGATATTGCATAACAGTTCTGTAATCTTTGTTCCTTATAACACCACCACTTTTCGCCAACAGGTTCTCACCCTTGGTCACGGTCACCAATTAATGTAACGCCCTTTGGCGTCGCTTACAGTCAGTGGTGTAGCCACGTTTAATGGTCCGGTCTTCAGGGTCTTAGGGCAACGTTTTAACCACGGAGCTAACTCTGCGCTGGTCAATGCTGATGCTGGTCTAAGTTGGTTGTTGGTCGCTGGCCGCTTCGATTCGCACGAACTTTGCCCACGTTGTGTTCTTGGTCTCAGAGCACTGGAAGATTGAAGGTCGTCGTAATCGCGGCGCTGGTTCAAGCCGTGGCGGGTGCTACATTAAGGAAGAAAAATATATTCACGATAAAAAAAAGAATAAATAAAAATAAAACGAAAGATTCATGGGGTTAATCTTCAATTGGTTTATATAGTTCTTGGTATAACAAAAATTAACCCTTCCCAAATCAATCTCTATACTGACAAGGGCCTTTTCTAAACTTCTGGAGGGGCTGGGTCCAAAGTTTTCTTTGTTCTCTATTTCTGCTTTCTTAATCAACTTTCTAAATTTGAAGAATTATCCACCTTCCTTAGGAACAGTCAGAGGGATTGCTCCTCCCTTAACTACAACCTGCTTCACTTCACATCTCGCACCGCCACTCCACAAAGGCGGGGCTAAATTCTGCCCCTTCGCCCTTCCTTCTCGGTATTCTGACTTTTCACACTTCTCAGGGCTGTCTTTGTAACAAATCTAATCTTTAAAATGCGTAGGAGAAAGGGCATGGTTTATTCCCTACATTAATTTCAATTCTCTGACTTATTTCCTGGATCAACCTGTCCACCAAAAACATAAACCAGATCACCTTCTCATTCTAACCTTCCGAGCGATAGATAAATATTATTTCCCAATTTGTTTTCGTCAATGAAAATATGTTTGTTTACCTAAAATTTTCACAAAGAGAGACCCTGTTTTTCATCCTTTAGCCGGTTACCGTGTTAGCGAAAACATAAACCAGATCACCTGCCTGTTATGACGAATCGATTTTCATAATCCTAAGCGTCGCAGCGGGTTCATTCTCTGTTTTCATTTTTCAATTCGTTTTCGCCAGTGAAAATATAATTCCCCTCTTCTTATCTTTTCGCCAATGACATGTGTTTTTCTAATTTCCCAGGAAAGAGATAAAGCCTTTTGGCAATTTGCTTTACCCGCATGCCAAATTTGCAATAGATAAAAAAGTAAACCCTCGGAGTTTTGTTCCAATTCTTCAGTTCCACATTAGCAGGGAAAATCTCTCTCTCTCTCTCTCTCTCTCTCTCTCTCTCTCTCTCTCTTAGTTTATATTTAATTTTGGGCTTAACCCTACTTAGAATTAATGTTTAACCCTCTCACAGTCCCAGTGTCACAGCCAACGAAATTGTTAAACTGTTAATAATAAGAGAATGCTTACAGTTTTCATATTAAGATTCTCCCAATGTTTAGCAATGTGTTGAGTGGAGTTCACAAGAAACGGACGTCGAAATTCTCCAAGAGTTGCAGCAACAAGATGCTTGTGAAGGCGGATATCGGCGATGTTGAGAAGAATTTTTATTTACCGAATTTTCGACACTCCTTCGTAAAATAGATGTTACGGGCTTCAGCTTATCCATATGTTGAATGAAATAGCAAAGTGCTGTAAAACATTTTAAATAACACCATCCGAAGCAACACAGAGAGATAGAGATATAGAGATAGATAGATAAATAGAGAGAGAGAGAGAGAGAGAGAGAGAGAGAGACATTGTCGCAGAAGAAAAAGAAGAAAAGAATTGTGCAAATTGCACCGGATATTACTCTCTTTTTTTTTTCCTTTTTTTTTAATTGCAACCAACTGTTTTTATGCTTCCAAACATTTTTATGTTTCGTAAGCATTAGAATTTTTTTAAAATTGTTCGGAAAATATTTTCCAATTTCAGAATAAATCTTTTGTGTTCTAATACAGTGTAACCCGGATATAAGAGACCCGGATATAAGAGAAACCCGGATATAAGAGAGATTTTCTCTGCTCCCAAATTAGAGCCTGTGTTAATGTATATAAAATAGACCAAACCCGGATATAAGAGAAACCCGAATATAAGAGACTTCTTCTCCGGTCTCGACAACTCTCTTATATCCGGGTTATACTGTATATTATTACAATAGTTGCACAAAGATATATTACTCACTTCTTGTGATTAAAGTGTCCTCTTTCTTAATTTTATATCAATCCCTTTCTGAATTTTGTTCTCAAATACGTGACGCAACACGCGTATACACTGGAAAAATAGTATTAGGTTGCCCGAACAATAATGTCCGATTTTAGAATAAACCTTTTGTGTTCTAACATATTATAATGTTTGCAAAAAAATATATTTCTCATTCCTTGTGATTGAAATAACCTCTTTGCTAATTTTATATCAATCTCTTTCAGAATTTAACTTAAAACGTTATAATCTTCTCATCTTGAAGAAGGGATATGTTTATTTTTTTTTATTAGGTTCCATCTTGATCCTAATGCTTCTCAAACTGCTTCCAACATTAACAAAGCATGGGATGAAGTGATCGGATATTACGGCACTGGTTTCTGAAATTTCACAATGGGGATACAAGTCTTAAAGTTCACGGTGGCAGAGGGCGTCCATTTGCAATTGGCAAACAACACGTGAAAACACTAGCCTAATAAAAACCAAGTCAAAGTATTAGAGAAATATCTTAGATAACACCGGTCGATATTTTTTCGATTCAAATGTTGCTGGATATTGGGCAAATGTTTCTTGGCTATTTTTTCACGCTGAATCTGAAAATCAAGTCCATTTTCCCCCATCACATAACGTTTTCTCAGTACAGATAATTTCTATTTTTCTTAAAATAGGTCGAAATACCCATTTAATAGTGATATGCCAGGGGCAAGTAGAACCAATCTTAAACGTTTTCAGGTTAGAATAACTTATCATAAAAGAAAAAATATCCCAATAACTTGAATGCATTTTCAGTTCAGAAAAATGTTTTCAGAAAATTCTCACACAAAATTAAATTAAGGCAAATATGCGTCACCAATTTTTAAATGAAAACAAAGAAGATACAAAGGAATGAAAAATGCATTCATTTTTGTCTACCCAAAGGTATAAATCTTAACTTCTTGGAAAACTCTACAGTGCTTTTGATCTCTTTTGTTGCTCTAACAGAAATCAGCCATCGTGCTAACATCCCCTCTGCCTTTGTATCTTTTTTCCTATTACTTTGAGATCCTGATGAAATCTCTCTCCCTGTTCATAACTATAATCACCAAGATTATTAGCAAACTGATTGAGGTGACTAAACAGAAAGTGAATCTTGATACTCATGTTGCACCCGAGTAGTTTGATGGACCTGATCAGACAAAATGCTAGTGGTGTTGTGGATAAGTAGGAAAAGTGCCTAGTTGGCTATGCCTATCTAGTGTTTGGCGGCTATTTTAAGCGCTGATCAAGAAAATTCTGATCTTGCTATTCTCAAATACACTCGCCTAACACAATAACAACCCTCATTTATTGATGTTCTTATGCATATTATACAGAGACTGTATGACAATACCAGACCTCTGTATATTCAAGTGATATGATAAAATCTTATGACGGTTTCAGTCTTAAAGTGAAAACTACTAATAAAAACTAAAAACGCTGTTCTTGGATGACTTCTAAAGAGCTTCTTCTATGAAAAGCAGAGAAGAAACACAAATCACAAAGTTTTAACACGCTAAGAACATTGAGGGCACAAGAACATTTTCCAGTGAGATATCGCTCATCAAATCAAGCATTTTCAGGTCAGCTTATTTGAACTGAAATAGTTACGAATTCATTTTGAAAATTACTTGGATATTTTTTCTTGAATGATAACTCATTTTAACAAGAAACCAAATGTTTCAACTATGTCACTCGCATGTTTAAGCCATGGCATATCCCTGTGAATTTAGCATGTTGGCCTATTTTAAGTAGAATAGAAATTATTTGTACTGAGAAGACGTGATGTGATGGGGCAAAATGGGTTTTCAGATTAAGCGTGAAAAATAGCCCAACAAAATTTGGGGCGAAAAAAATGTCAACGGCTTAATGGCATTTCAACAATATCGGACCATCTGACGAAAATTGGCAAGGTGAAGAAACAAGTTAAATGGATTCCACGTGAACCCAGGGAAAGTCAAAGAGTTCGATGTTTTCAAGCGTGCTCGTAGCTGCATCTGTGAACGATCCTTGATCGAATTGTGACTTATGATGAGAAATGGATCCTTTATCACAATTGTAAGCGACCAGCTCAGTGGTTTGATAATGACGAAGAAACCAAACACTTTCTAAAACCGAAATTGCACCAACAGAAGATTATGGAGACTGTCTATTGGCCCATCTTTATTGTTATCCATTACTGCAGATTTCTGGAATTTAACCAGAGAATCACTATCAGCAACTGGGTGAAATGCACATTTAGTTAAGCAAAATGCGAACGGCACTGGTTAATCGACAAGATCCAATTCTGTTTGATGACAATATTTGGCCAGGTACTTCCAGGATGACACTGCAGATGCTCACCGACTTGGGATACAAGAATTTCCCCTGATCTCTCGCCCATTGACTACCTCTTTTTCAAGTATCTGGAGATTATTTTTAAGTCAAAAGACATTCCGATGTAAAGAAGGTACAGAAAATGAATTCAAAGATTTTCTTGACGTTCAAAACTTTTGAGCTTAACTCGATGACAGAAGTGTATAGTGAACCGATTAAATAAAATGCAAGCACTGCATTCAAACGTTTCTTGGTGCCAAGTCTCTTTTTGGTAAAGGCATAAATAACGTTGTAATTCGATCGCAGAAATGTATCGATGTTCAGGGTTCCTATTTTGACTGATTTAAACATTGTTTAAATGCATTAACTCAGGAATAAAAGTTGATTTTAAAATCGAACATTAATTTCCGAAGAACCCAATAATTATGTTTGTCAGTTATAAAGAATAAAATCTTTATTTTTCTATTTTATAATGCTATAAGATAAAATAACCACCTCGTTTCCTATTTAAGATGGGGTTTCCGGTTCCTTTTGAAGTCTGATTCAGTTCTGTACTCCTAACATCAGTGCCTGAACTCTGAAAATTTATTTATTTCATTTTATTTTTATTTTCCTCCAAGTTCGCCTATCGCCCCTTTCATACTCCTCCTCTATCTTTTGAACAAGAGTAGGGGTTTATTCCTTGTTTCTGGCTTAGGATTCAGTGTCTGGTTCCTTCTAAAGTCAGTTTCAGCTCTCTATTTCTAAATCTTGTCCTTTCCTACGCTAATATAATCCATACAATAGCCCTCTACTCTCAGTGGCTTTTGGGCCCTGTATTGGGTGAACATAAGTAAAAAAAAATTACATTGGTGTGATTGCTTTGTGCAATAGATGGTTATCACTAATTGATAACACTGGTCTGTGATCAAGTCTAAGTGAAAACCAAAATTTGGAATGCTGATTTACTTGTTACAAAGTCCCGAGAGAATGTTTCCCTGAAGAATACAATCTCAGTTTGGGCAAGTCCAGGGTCAACCAATAATAATATTCTTACTTCCCACTCCCCTTAGAATCAGCCTCAGTAACCGTCTAGCTTGTGTGGGCGTTGGGCCTTGTATTCGGTGAAATATCAGTAAGTTTTTTAAAAAAATGTCTGAGAATTAGGTTCAAATTTCTAATTAGAAATATTTTGTTTTAAAACAAGTCGTATTAAATTTGTATGTTTGTTGACTGTGCAGATATTCTAATATAGAGTGTCTGCCCGCCTGTTTTTTTTACAAAACCCCTCTGATATATATATAGAGAGAGATAATTATAATTAAGTTATTCATCGAGTCTAGAAGAAACCTCAACAGAATGCACTGAACGGCCGCTTCATCCTATATCTGAGCCTCACTAGCAGTGCGCATCCACTGCCGAGAATTGAAACCGGGACAGCTACATTATCAGGCAAACGTCATACCAACTGTTCCAACGGGCGTAGTTAACGAAGACGTAGCGAATCAGACTCTATTTCTTTTCTCTCTCCACCCTCTCTTTCTTTTCTCTCTCTCTCTCTCTCTCTCTCTCTCTCTCTCTCTATATATATATATATATATATATATATATATATATATATATATATATATATATATATATATATATATATCTGCGTCTTTCTTGTCGGCTGTTGAAGGAAAGCACTAAATGCACTCATCTGATGTCATCAGTGCTATGGAACGGTGGGTTGAAGTATGCAGCGACAGTAAAATTGTTGTTGTCTTTAACGGGTGTTTTACGGTTATTGAACCGAAGACGGAATTCCGTGCCTGTTTCTCCAAAGTAATTCATTTTCTTTTGCATTTGTGGCAGAAAAGTAAGTATGTAAGATCTGAACTGTCACAAGTCAGAGCCGGTGGTTTGAATATAATGTGAGTGCCGGTAGGGTGTGAAATTGCTATCAGTGATGATATGTTTACAGACTTGGCATCGGGTTTATTGCAGGTGATATTCCCTTGGTGAGGTGGTGAATTATGTATGTCGGATGATGTTCGGAGTGTGTGTAGGTTATGTGGGGGTTCTCGCTGAATATCGTTCTAATTGTTTGGTCGAGTTTTAACTGCTGGTAATCTTTTGTTTTTGAAATATATATCTATATATAATGGTAATGAATACAGGAAAACATAAAGGTGGAAATAAGAATAAGATTGGCGAATAAAGAGCAGAAATATGAGATAATGAATAAACTTAGTTGTCAACACCCGATGATTTTACAAAGATCTGTATACAAGCTAATCATGTAATAAAATACAAGAAGAGGAATCAAATGTAGACAGGAAAATGAAGAGCGATAGAGGTAATAATTGACAAATGAAGAGCCACATATATTTATTGCTCTTGTAGAAGACTCATTAGAGTGTGAGAAAAAGGAAAAATAATGTAATTAATCAAAACAACTTTGCTCAGTCACCTCCGTATACCCGTAATCTCGGGAAGCTTGCCTTTCGAAAGACTTTAACTGATAAGAAAAAAAAAAAAAACACAGAAAACAACTCGAATTTTTCGCTTTACCTGATATGAAGCATGCGATAATGAACAATTCTAGTTGTAAACATCCTAGAATTTACCCGGATCTAGCTTTTTGAGTGAGTTTTACCTCCACTGAGCTCCTCGTACTGAAAATATGATATTTACTAAGTTTAGCTGAATGTGGTATATGGGTAGATGTGGTTAAATACGGGTAGCAAACCTTTCTTGCCCGTCTGCCCAGAAAACAGATATCCTTTTATATTTTATAACACAGCTTTTACATATACAGTGTAACCCGGATATAAGAGACCCGGATATAAGAGAAACCCGGATATAAGAGACTTCTTCTCCGGTCCCGACAACTCTCTTACATCCGGGTGACACTGTATATCCTTAAGGTAGTTTTGTATAAATAATATATACCCTGAAAGTAGTTTTATATGAAATTTAATAAATATAAAGAACCCAACCTTTTAACTAGGCTCGAACTCTGACCTCGCTGGAAAATAGGATTTTTAGTAAACGTAATTTACTCTGGCACATGGTCAAGTGGAAAGAGTTAGATTGAAGAAGATTGTGTCAGTACAATTTAGTAAACTGGGGCGAACTCCTTGCGTTGAAAATCAGCATTCCAAATTCTGAATTTTGCTTGTTTTTGAACACCGACCTCAGGAATACGTTTGTGATTTTTTGAAAATATTTTCATGTATACAAAAAAAAAAAAAAAAAAACGAAAAAAAAAAAGAAAAAATGAAACAGTAAGGAGATAATAAAGTAACTGCGTAGTTTCATTGTGCTTGTAAAATATCAAAAATTGTATACGGCTCTGAACTTTCCTGTTTATCTCTGAGTTTCAAATAGACGGGACGGGATGATTATTCTTTTTTGCTTCTTCTTCATTATTATTATTATTATTATTATTATTTTGCGGCGTTGGGTTTCACTCGGGACATCATTACTGCAAACACATCTTTTATTAAATGTTCAGAAAATATCCCCCTCCATTTTATTATTATTATAATTATTTTTATTTTCTTTGATTTCTGGCGTTTACACATTTCTTTCCGGGTCCCGCCCAGGAACCTAAGGTTAGAAATGGCGTCATGACACTTTCCACTGACAAGAAAAAAAAAATTAAATTACATAGATAAAGCCCTTCGTAAGGTGTGGGCTGTAATTTTTTTGTATCTCCTTGAGGCATGGACTTCCCGGAATCCCTTCAATTAGTCTACTGCAATCTTTTCCAACCGAACTACAACAGGGATTGTTGATGTTTCCATATGCCACATTTTCGAGATTTCTATTTCAAGGTCCTTGTATTTTGACAGCTTTTTGAATATCTTCAAAGATACATTGCAGTCAGCAGGGACTGCCATATCAATAAGGAGGCACCGTTTTTGTTTGTGGTCTTTAATAACAATATCTGGCCGGTTGGCCTTGATTGATCCCATAGAATTGTAACAGGTCCTATCTCCGTAACCGGATCTGAGTGGTGTTCATACCAGTTTCTTTCAGTTTTCTTCCCGTAGAAGTTGCAGATTTTCCAGTGCAGATATTGGCCCACTCTGTCATGTCGGGTTTTATATTCAGTGGGTGACAACACCGTGCAACCTGATACAAGGTGATCAATCGTTTCTGGATATTTATCACAGAATCTGCATTTTGGGCTGACACAATATTTTAGTATATGTGCTTCATAATTCCTAGTTAGCAAGCATTGGTCCTGCGCAGCAAGGATAAAACCTTCAGTTTCCGCTTTCAACCCTGCACTACGTAGCCACTGATGGGTACGAGTTTTTATTATATTATTATTATTATTATTATTATATAGGATGAGAATCCTTTATCCGAAATTCTTGAGAGCGGAAGTGCTTCGGTTTTCAGATTTTTTTGATTTTAGAATGCATGTTATTTAATTTGTATATAGCATCTATAAAAATGAGCAGCTTGAGAATGGAACCCAAGCATAAACATGATATCCTTTTATATTTCATAACACAGCTTATACATATATATCCTTAAGATTGTTTTGTATAAATAACATATACCCTGAAAGTAGTTTTATATCAAATTTAATAAATATTGTGTACATGCAGATACAGGTAATGACGCTTGTCGTGACACAGATTTCTAAAATTGCGAAATTAAGATTTCATACAAAAATAATGTTTTGTACTTTCTGTACGTGTACAAAAAACATTATCTTGTTGCGGACCCGGTAGCGTGCAGTGCTGGTTTATTAAAAGGTGGCCTTGTGCCAGACACTAATTATGACTACCGAATCCACAAACAAAGTAAAAATATTGAGTGTGTGATCTTAGTGAGGAAAAGGGTTATTCAACAAGTGCATAAAAATAATACAGGTAGATAGCCAGGATTAAACGACAAAATGAGTTTGGTAAAAGAACAAATATAGACTTTTATTATTTTTAAACAAGTAAATTGTCTCGACAGTTGAGACCATCAGTAAAGTTCCCGGATCTTTGCAATTAATGAAAAGATTGTGACAAGAGGTCACTGAATGAATGTCAGTGTTCCGCGCCAAAACAGAAAACCAAAATGGCTAAGGCGGGAAAAGTTCTTCAGGAAGAAAGTTCCAGAACAGTCAATTTATACGGAATATTATACATACAACAAAGAAAATACTCACTGCGAGTTTTGTTAGTGTGAGTGTAATGTTATATTTTTAAGGTACTGGTTCATAATGTTTAGAGTTCAATGGATATGACAAGTTCTCATTCTTAACTGTTGAAGGTTTCAAAGTTCCCTGGTCATGGACGAAGGCAAGGCTCGAACAAGATGTTCGCCACTCGACGAGAAATTAGTCATCGAAATGTCGTGATGACAGTGTTGCAAGGGCTATGTTTTCCTGATAGAAAACAGAAGAAAAGTGCAAACAAGATGTTGGCTTCAGGTCGAGGAATTATTTGTTGAAAGTTGCATCGACTTCGTGGAATTACACACGACGAGCCAAAAGGGACGAAGAATTAATTGCCGTTAGTTGCATCGTCTAGAAGAGATTACGCACGACGAGCTTAAAGGAACTAAGCATAATTTGCTGTTAAGATATCCCTGTTTGTATTATGGGTTAACTGACAAGGAATAAATGAGCCGACTTGTCGATTCAGTGTCCTGACCGCGACTAACTTCGAAAAACCAGTTTGTCCGTGACGTCAAAGAAATTGCGCGGGAAGATTTCAAATGACATCAGGAGCAGCCGGTAAGCTTGACGGCAACAAAAGGATGGCTTATTTCTATGTCTAGTCGCAAGTGGAAGGAAGGGGTGCAAAACGCGGGCGCGCAAAAGGATGGAATCTATGCACGATTCCACAATCTCTACTTACAAAATATATATGCAGGACTTTTTTGAATAATATCTTTGCCGAACACGAAAGACCTGGTAAGTAATCTACAAACGAAAGTGTTCCTGTAACGATCGCTACTAAAAAAAAAAAAAAAAATGGGGCTAACGGAGCTGGGCTTTCTGAAATTTGCCATTTGTGGCAAGTCATGTCAGCCCCTGAAAAACTTTCGGATTTTTGAGGTTTTGGGATTTGATAATTTCGGATAACGGATTCTCAACCTGTAATAATAATAATAAAAAAAATAATAATAAATTATTATTATTATTATTATTCCCAAAGCTACAAATATGCATGCAAATTTCATGTATTGGGATCTTAATTTTCTGAGAACTCCTTGAATAAATTCTTCGGGGGTTTCCCGAATTAACGTATCGCGTCGTTAAATATTTGAGCTTAACAGCTTTAACAAAATATTGGAATAATAATCATAACTACGAATGCAGGTCATTATTAAAAGAAGAAGATACAAATCAAAAGATTAAAGATTGACAATTTTCCATTTCACTGAAGCAGACGTTAAACGCATGAAAGTGTTATCGCCTCCTCTATTCTTCCCATCTTTCTTTCATTGGTTTACGGCCACAACACAAACAACCGTTCTCGTCCGACCATCGTAGTTAAGCCACGTCAATTCTGGTTAGTACCTGGATGGGTGACCGCTTGGGAATAACAGATGCTGTCAGCTTGGATGTACGGGTGGTGTAATGGATAACGGTTCAGAATGAGAAATCGAAGAGCCGAGTTCTAATTCCTGTTGGGTTCGTTATATTTACTTATGTGCAAATACCATTGGGAAAGATATACATCTACTTCTTCTAAAGCTGTGGGTTAATTAATAGGAATTGTATCAGAAAATGATTATCTCCAAAAACAATTCTTGCAATAAAAAATATTTGCTGGCTTTAAATAACCTGCAAGTGGTTGATAAGCCGTAAATAACTCTTTCTTTTTTCCTTCTTCTTCTACTTATTATTATTATTATTATTGTTATTAACAACAGCCACAATAACAACAACACTAATAATGATAATAATAGCAACAACTACAATAACAATAACATTTTTCTTCTTATTCTTCCTTGGATTCCTGTTGTATACAAATTTCCTTCCGGGTCTCAACCTAAGGTCAGAAATGGCTTCATGATATTTCCACTGATCATTTTTTTGTATAAAATAAAACCCCTAAAACGTAAGAGGGGGGGGATGAAAAGATATAATCTTGACAAGTTTTCTATTTCACTAAAGCATACGTTAAGCAGATGAGAGAGTTATTTTCTCTCATTTTCTTTCTTTCTTTCTTTCTTTCACAGAAACCAAACAGCGTCCCTGATATAACTTTTCCGTCTTTCTTGAACGTAACGTGCATGCTAAGGAACTAAGTAACAAGCGTAATAAAATAATAATAATAATAATAATAATCGTACCAAGTAGCAAAACCGTTTCATGTCCTACCCAATTGGGGTAGAGGTAAAGCAGAAACTCGTTGGTCAAAATATTTTTTGCAAACAGAGACAAGTGGTGAGCCCTTTGTTGAAATAATAATACAGATAAAATATAGATAAATAAATACAGATAGCTGAAGTTGAGTTATGTGTCACATTTATTAGATGTAGGTCTTTATTAAATTAAATAGGACTGCAAAGTCTGGAACTCAGAATAGGAGATGGACCAATGAGTATGGCATAGATTAGCAATTTTGAGAGAGACTACCATTGAGTTTCAAATTAGACTGGACAGGACGATTATCTATTTTTTGAGAAAAATCTACACAGAACATCCTTATTCCAGCCCCCCACTTTATTAAATATTCATGAAATTTACACACACTTCTTAATTTAGGTTTCGTATGTTCTAGGACAGAGAGTTTCATTTGAATATTTAATAAAAGGCGAGGTTTGAATAAAGATGTCTCTGGATGGATTTTTTTTCTCTCCCAGCTAAGTATAATAGGATAAGTATATCCTGAATATCAGACAAAAGAAATAACGTTGTATTCACCGTTTTGGGGTTTATTTTTTTACTTTTTCTTTCTTTTTTCCCCAAGCAAAGGTGGGAGTGGGGGGGTCTTCATTTCCTCTAATCTTTCATTATGTACTCAACCTAAATCCATTCTACAAGTTCGGCAGTTACCAAAAAATAACAAGACCAGAATGGCTTGTTAATTTTAACGCTTCTAAAATTAAATTAAAACTATTAATCATCTGAGAGACCCCTTTCTGCCTTCCATCAGTATGGCTGATGCTAACCCCCAGGAAAGTGACACATTGCGCATTCTCGGACTAACGTTCACGGCTAACATGAAGTGAAAAGACTTTCTTTCTTTCTATGTGCCGTGTCCTTTCAGGACGTAGGCGATCATGGCTCTCCACTTCCTTTTATCCCTTGCAGCTCTCAACAAGTTCCTTCCCTCTGCCACCCCCCAGGCCACGTTCTGTCATACACTTGCTTAAGTCTGCCAGGTATGTCATGCATTGTTTTCCCTTGTCTCTCTTTCCCCCTATTCGACCCGTGAGTATCAGATTCTCCAGGCCTTCCTTCTTCATTATGTTTCCCAGAAACTTCAGCTGCCTCTTCCTGATGTTAAGTATAAACCTCCTTCTTGTTTGCAACCTCTCTAAGACCTCATCGTTGCTCGCACGCTTGGTCAATGATATCCTTAGCATCCGTCTGTAGAACTACATCTCCGTCGCCTCGAGTCTCTTCTTCATCTTCGAGGAAATCGTCAACATTCGCTGTCTCTTCCTGATGTTAAGTATAAGCCCCCCTCCTTATTTGCATCCTCTCTAAGACCTCATCGTTGCTCACACGCTCGGTCCATGATATCCTTAGCATCCTTCTGTAGAACCACATCTCCGTCGCCTCGAGTCTCTTCTTCATCTTTGAGGAAATCGTCCAACATTCGCTGTCGTAAAGAAGGACAGATGAAAAAAATTGCTAAGAAAGTCGGTTCGGCAATGTTGTTCGACAACCGAAATTTTGTCCGATAACCGAGGTATTTTTATCTCGAATTTTCTGTTCGAAAACCGATTTGTTCGACATGTGAGACATGCGAGAACCGAGGCTGCACTGTATTCAAGGAATGGTTAGTGAGGATGATACGATCTTCATTACAATTGTTTCCCCCACAAAAAAAGAAGAAAGGAAATGCTTTAAAACTCAACGGAACATTAGATAAATATATATTTTTTTTTAAAGATCTTTGCCCTGAAATATTCCTCCTCTTTTTTTAATTTTTGAAGAAATGTTCCGGTTAGGAGTTGGAAATTTAATTGGTGTCTACAGTAGAACTCCGGAAAAAATCTTACAAAAACAATCAAACGAACAAGCAAACAGATAACAAAAAACAGCTTCTCATTTTTCAGTCGATCGGAAGAACAAGATTATTATTTGGAAATCTATTCAAGATACACGAACCAATCATCGGCCAGATTGTTATCGGAATTCGAAACGTCCATGGAGTGTAATTCTTCTGACCAGTCACCATCCATCATGTTCGGTAGCGGAGCGACGAAAGATTAATGCATAAATAAATTACCTTTTCCACAAACGTCTGTTTTGTTGGGATGATACAGGAAAGAGAGAAGGCGTTTCAGAAGAGCAACTCGATGCTGAGAAGTCGGCCTCGTTTGCAGCAACGAATGGCGTCACTATTAAAATGTATTGATTTCTTTATCAAGACAATGCAAATATAAGGTTAGGTGACCCAAATGTGGTCGTTTGGCAACGGAATTCAATCAATTTGGAATGGAAAACAGCAGCAGCAGCGGCGGCGGCGGCGACAGCAGCAGCGGCGGCGGCGGCGACAGCAGCAGCGGCGGCGGCGGCGGCGGCAGCGGCAATGGAGGCGGGTGGAAATGCTGATTGAAAAAGGGTAAAGAACTCAAACGCGAGTGAAGGGTTGGGGTGTGGTGAGACAAATTCTTCATAAACAAGATGAACCAGATCGCAGTTAATCAATCGGCTCTGTGCGAAAAATATGAGGTTCATCCCCCCCTGCTCCCGTTAGGGATTTTCAGCAAGGAGAATGCCAATAGAATCACGCGCGTCCTCACACACGCACGCACGCACGCACGCACGCACGCACGCTCTCACACACGCTCTCTCTCTCTCTCTCTCTCTCTCTCTCTCTCATTCATTCTTTTTTCTGTCTCTTTATATATTACACAACAAAATCCAAAATTACCTCATATGAGTAGGGGGTATAGACTATTTCAACTAACGAGAAGTACTTTAGTCTTATTCAACCCCGGTGTACAAACTGTGTCCATATACCCTGCCCATATGAGGTAATTTTGAATTTTGTTGTGTAATTTATATGGTACGTTATAATAAATACATTGAGCTCTTCTTGTGGATCAGTTTTAATATTTGATATTACTAGGATCCACTTGGATTATATACCAATGATTATTATATTTTATATATATATATATATATATATATATATATATATATATATATATATATATATATATATATATATATTTCAGGTTACGTACATTGTAATATTGGAGAGAGATCGCAATTTCACATACTATTGACAACCATGCCAAAATTGATCCCTATTATCTACCTCAATAAGCTATACCGCTGTCTCTCCTCTTTCTTGCTCTCTCTCTCTCTCTCTCTCTCTCTCTCTCTCTCTCTCTCTTTCCCCTTAACTTTCTCTCGCTACCTCCCTTTTTATGCCTTTCACTCTCTCCCTCCATTTCTCTATCTTTCTCTTTCTCTCTCTACTTTTCGGTGTCTATCTCTTTCTCTATCTCTCTCTCCCTCTCTACCTTTCTCTCTTTCTCTATCTCTTTCTGCCTCTCTACCTTTCTCTCTTTCTCTCTCTACCTTTCTCTCGTTCCCTCTCAACCTTTCTCTATCTCTTCATACTTTTCTCTCTTTCTGCCTACATTTCTCTCAATCTTCTGCTGCCGTCCATTTCAACCCCCCATCGTTTTCTCTCTCCCTCCATCTCCACCTATTACGTATATTTTCTCTCTCCCATCCTTTATCTATCTATCTATCTATCTATCTATCTATCTATATATATATATATATATATATATATATATATATATATATTATTATTATTATTATTATTACTTAAACGTTATTTTGGTGGATGCCCATATTTAAGTAAACGCTCCGTTTATTTAATAACCAGTATATTTATTTTCGTCTACCGGCCTGAATATTCAAGAAATTTTATCAAAAAAAACCATTCACTCAGCGGCGTGATCCGAACCTGCATCCGACCCCGGTCAGGAGAAACCGTCGTTAGATCCGACGTACTTTAAACCTCTCGGCCACAAAGTTCATCGATGATCAAGTAAAGTTGAATATTGTCTTTTCTCTGACTCTCGAAATATACATATCTACTCAGTTTCGTATCTTAACGTAAACAAAGCAATTTCTAAAGAAGTGGAAGATTTTTATTTACTAATCAGACAGATTTTATTACTTGAACGTTATTTCTAGTGGATACCCATATTTGTGTAGAAGGCTCCGTTTATTTATTAAACAGTATATTTATTTATTTTCGTCTACCGGCCAGAATATATATGATATGATTGCCCAATCGTACATCAAGTATGGCAGTTAACTGACTGATATATATATATATATATATATATATATATATATATATATATATATATATATATATTTGTGTGTGTGTGTGTGTGTGTGTGTGTGTGTGTGTATGTGTGTGTGTATATATCTAATTATGTCTGGGTGCTTATGTATTATAATCTGATTGTGTTTTTGTTGTGTCACGCGTGAGTTTAAGACCACATTCACAAACTTTAAAATAAAAACGGAAAAGAAAGGGAAAAGGAAAAAATATATATACATGTATTGTCAAATGACCGGATGTATTGCAGCGTCTTGTCGAACGTAATTTCAATGAAGAAATGAATTGAATATACATATATATTTTTTTCTTTTCTCAATAATTTTGTAGTTCTTAAACTTAATAGTGATTAAATTTGGATTTTAAAATTGCCAGTTTTTGATTTTAATATTAAATTTTATCATATAATTTTATAATTATTAGTTAGTATAAATTATTTTTAATATTACACGTATTTAAAGATCTGAAAAGCTATTATAGCATGATTTCGTTGTCAAGCTTTTGAATCTTTCTATACTTCGTTTTTGATTGGTTATTCTAGCTTTTGTAACAATGTTTCCCCCTAGTGTAGGATCGTTAATTAATCTGAAACTTTTAAAACCATTTATTTTCTTTTCAACATCATCACTTGATAAGACACAGAGTGTGTTGAAACAAAATGGCTATTTTGTAGTGATTTTATAACATACTTATGTTATAATTTTTTTATAAAAAAATTATTATATATATATATATATATATATATATATATATATATATATATATATATATATATAATTGTGTATTTAGGCAGCAATCCTTCATTTAAGCAGGTTTCATTAAAACGACAGACAAGGTACTACGATTAAGCTTTTTATTTAATTTTTCTTGTGTTCGAACAAGAGCTTTCTTTTTGGGACACAGAGCGTGTCGAAACTGTCCGAATGTTTTATGATTGCGAGCGCTTTCGGTTATACATTTAGCCATTATCAAGAATTATTTTATTTTTTTTCAGTTTTCATTAAGTGTGTGCGTTATGTGTATGTTTTGAGTGTTATAGAGATGTTTTATTTTCCGAACACGGTTAGCACATTGCGGCCTTGTTCGTAATTTATATTGTTAAGTGTTGACTTTTTCTTTTTTATTATTAGGGTTTCCAATATTTTTAATCTTTTTTTTACAGGTGGGTGAGGTTATTAATGCCTGTATTATTGTTTTTTATAATTGTTTTATGGTACATGTGATAAAATGGAAAAATTTACTCCGTAGTATTACAAGCCATATCACAGAGAGAAGTTGGAAACGTGTTGCCCGTAACAAGGTTCGTGGGGAAGAGATTGAATATAACGTCTTTTGTTGGGATGTCCATATTTCCGGCAGGAACAGTTTTTGTTGCATGCTGGGAGTATTTTTATTATTCTTAATTTTTATTTAATTTATTTTATACATTTTTATGTTATTGTTTTATTTTATTTTATTTTATTTAAAATTTTCTTTATTATCATTATCATTTTATATTTTATTTTTATTTATTTATAATAATAATAATAATAATAAGGATATAGGACCTGTTACAATTCTATGGGATTACACAATACACACAGACAGAACAATCAAGGCCAAATGGCCAGATATTGTTATTAAAGACCACAAACAAAAACGGTGCCTCCTTATTGATATGGCAGTCCCTGCTGACTGCAATATATCTTTGAAGATATTCAAAAAGTTGTCAAAGTACAAGGACCTTGAAATAGAAATCCCGAAAATGTGGCATATGGGAACATCAACAATCCCTGTTGTAGTTGGATCCCTAGGACTGGTTGGAAAAGATTGCAGTAGACTAATTGAAGGGATTCCTGGAAGTCCATGCCTCAAGGAGATACAGCCCACACCTTACGAAGGGCTTTATCTATGTAATTTAATTTTTTTTTTTTTGTCAGTGGAAAGTGTCATGACGCCATTTCTAACCTTAGGTCCCTGGGCGGGACCCGGAAAGAAATGTGTAAACGCCAGAAATCAAAGAAAATGATGATAATAATAATAATAATAATAATAATAATATCCCTACACTCTCTAAATAAGTTTGAAAAATCGACTTTTACATGATGACAGACGATTTTTTCTTTTTTCTTTTTTTATTGTTGTGCCTGCCAGGTCACCAATCTGGTTATATTCATGGTTTGTGTGAAACACGCTTCTGAAGGGAACATTTAAAGTCCTGAACAAAAGATCTTGTTTTATATATGAGTGCAGGTTATTGTCACGTTCTTAATCGTGTGAGCGTGTACACTCTTGAAAGACATGTCTCGAAACTTGTACACACAATATTGACACTATTTATAGCACCTAAAGAAGCCAGCCTTCAAACTAGAACAGATTCTGCTGTAAAAATTCGTATCTAGTCCAAGTTGAAGAGAAATTATTCACATTCACTTCTCGCAGCTTTTGATCAAAGGGTATATTTTTATCTGGTATGTTATGCTGAGTGATCGTCCTTGAAACTAGAACTATTAAAGTCGCTAGAGGGCGTGCCATTAGCGCAGCATAAGGTCTCTACCACTCACCATCAGCGGTAGTTCTTTGGTATTGCAGAGCGCACTGATTATTCTGGGTGAGTTATTGGGCTCAGAGAGAGACAGACGATTAACATGGTAGATTTGGGGGGAAAGCAGATATATTAACAGTTTTTTTTTTTTTAATATACCATGTCCATTAAGGACATAGAGGATTATTACTCACCACAGGTTCCTTTACCATAATATTCGTGAACTGCCATGAATTCTTGGCAAATATAGTGAAATGTTTTCGGCTTCCCTCTCCACAGTTTTGAATTTAGAGTTATCCCCCTTTTAGACAGGCTGCCACCCACAACTTGAGAGCACAGTACATCCTGTTATGTAACCCGTAGTTGGATGGAATAAGAGATGTTTTCTTGCATTTCCCAAGGGCAATAGTGCAAAGACTATGACAGAGTTTGAACTTGAAATTAATTTCCTGCGCCGATAAGCGTTACTCTAACCACTATATGCTATCCGCACGTCTAAACTGCATTTTTTTTTTTAATCATTTCACCCAAGCAAGGCAAAAAAACCACTAAGACGCAGGGGTGTACTAAATGAGAAATTATATATGAAAAAGAAAGAGAAAGACTTAAATTTACAACTAACCTTATATAAGTAGCGAAGTATTCGTTTTAAGTAAAGCGGTTAATCGAAATAAGTGCTGCGTAATTTGTTGCGGATTAAATATATCAATTAAAACTAAAAAATAATTTCTATTTTTTCCATCTTCAAATGAGACAAGACTTTCTAAACTAACAGATAAATATTATGAAGACAAGTGTCAAATCAAATAAATGTATCCCATATCCTTGCAGATGGTCGATGTATCATATTAATAATGGCTGGCCGCTCCTATCCGAGGATGCCTCCCTGAGAGGACTGCGAGACAATCCCTGTTGCAGACGGCTGCTCAGGGACATTTGTGTTTCTTCAACACCCACAAAGCCCACCTGTGGTTTATACAGCAACTATGCTGAGAGAAAATTAGCGTGATCATTATCGATTAAATTTAGACACTGTTCTACCTTCCATGTACACGTCCATCTCACAGACAGCCAGAAAAAACACCTTATGTCAGTCAAAATATCTTTAGGGGAAGGTATGAATCCTTCTCTTCCTCACACCAGCTATGGGTAAATAACAAGACAGAGTCCTATAGCCTTGGATGGCAATTGGTCTAGCAGAACAATTTTGAATTCAAAACCTTTGACTATGGTATAAATAGCCTCGCCAACCTGCAATTTAGACACTGTTCTGCCTCCCACGTACCATCGAACAAAAATTCTTTAGAAGTTTTAATGCGAACCTCTTTAAAATTAATAAAACTGTTTTCCCGCTAAAAACATTGCAAAGATCTGAAAAGATGATAGTCAGATGGAGCAAAGTCTGGAGAATAAGAAGGATGAGGCGAAAATATTTAATGCCATAATCAGTCAAGATGGAATCTTGCATTATCGTGTAAGCGCAACACAACTTTACGATTTAACAATAATGTTCGTTTTTTCTGCCTATTTTTGTGCATTGCTTCCAAGAGACGATACTATTTCTCCGTATTAAAGGCTTCACTTTGGTCCAGCGCAGGCATGAGCAACATTTTTCGAACAGTGCGTCGCATATACGATACAAGAACCCGCCGCCATTTTCCAAACAAAAGACCATGCGCATACACATCTGTCTTAGAAATGGGGAAAAGTCGATATTTTTTTCTTCGTAGAAAAGATTCCTTCTATAATTAAAAGAATTAAATCTTGATATAATAATATAATTGTATATCTAATGACAGAGTGATTAACGCACACTACTGCTTTTGATTCTAATTTGTTAATTTGAATATACAAAAATATTTGTAAAAAAAAAGTATATTTATTCTCTAGAGAAAAATAATTATCATTGCCGTTTCCTGTTTCTGAAGCAAAAGATATTTACACGTATGATCTTCCTTAGGAAAATTCGCCATTAGCTTGAAATGCTGATAACGTTACCGCCAACATAAAGTTATAAAATTCAAGAAATATTGTATTTAATCGTTGTTTTTAATTAATTTGTTGTTTCTTGCAGTTTATCAACCTTTTAATATTATTTAAAGCTGAAACATATTTTCGGATTGTAAGAATTTTTTGGAGGTAAGAATGATTTTTCTGATACAAGTTCAACCATTTAACCTATAGCTGGAAGGAGAAAAGGTGGATTCATACCTTTTTCTAGGGTATTTGCACGTAAGTGTATATAAAGAACCCGACTGGAATTCGAACCCGGCTCTCCGATTTCTCATTCTGAGACAGTTATCAATCACAACACCTGCACATCCTTAATCATTGTTTACGTATGTGATTATGCGAGAGTATGTGAGTGAACAAGTGAGAATGAAAGGAAAGAAACAGTATTTTAATAGACGTTATTTTCCTCATGAAATTAGGAGTGGCATTTAGAAAGCCAATCGGGACGTATGTGGCCTCCGTGTCGAATTTGGTCTACGGGTCGCAGTTTGCCCATGACTGGTTTAGTACTTCATGGTAGACAACAGCCTCGATATCTCACCAAACACAGAGTATAAGTTTTTTCAGTTGTAGTCTTGGTTTGGGAACAGACCAGTGCGTGCTAATCGTCGTCATTTTCATTGGGAATAATTATAGGGACCTCACTTTTCATCACAAGAGATGATTATATCCAAGAAAGATCAGGTAACGATTGATTTGTGCTTTTTATTTTATTTTTACGGTCTATCAACTTTTTTGAAGTTATTTAAAGCGGAAAAATATTTTTGAATATTAAGAATTTTTTTAGATAATACTGATTTTCTGGTACAGGTCTTACTATTTAACCCATAGCTGGAAGGAGACGAGGTGGATTCATGCCTTTCCCAATGGTATTTGCGCGTAAGTGAATATAACGAACCTGACTGGAATTCGAACTCGGCTCTCCGAATTCCCATACCGAGCCTTTATCCATTACACCATCCGTACATCCAACTTTACAGCACTTGGTATTCCCCTGCAGTCACCCATCTAGGTACTGACCAGGTTCAAAGTTGCTTAACTTCGGTGATCGGAGGAGAACCGGGGTTTCATTGTGATGTGGCCGTAACCCGTTCGGAAACAAATCTAGTCTTCGATGACGAACATATGAAAAATTAATCCATATAGGGAGGAAAATAAATAAATAAATTACTTAGTCATTAGGCGCATAAGAAATGTATAGAAATGTGTGAAATTGTATAAAAAGAATTTATTTACAATAGATTTAATTGGAAACGTGTATTAAAGAAGGCACAATATATTATTTTGAGCGCCTAATAAAAGTTAAACTGGATAGAGAAAAGGTGTTTGTGAAAGTGGGACTTACGGTTGATAAAGTTAAAAAAAATATCCTTTGCAAAGGGGTAAAACAAAAGTCCGAACTTTGGTGTGTTTTGTGATGTCAACGAACACTCATTGCCACTTTTGTGATGTCAACGAATACTCGATGTCACTTTTGTAATGCTCGTTGTAGTAGAGACTTTGTAATCGCAGACACAACTATAGTAACGCCGTTGAACAATACTGGTGTCAGACGCCTTCGAATAGCACTCGCACTAATATTACTTGCTCAATAATACACGCTCGATAAGTAACCACTGAATAGTAATCCGTGTAGTGATCAGTCTAAAGAAATAGTATAGTGAATAGTATAGATATAGAGGATAGTGTAGAAAGAGTGATAGTAATAGAGGATAGAATAGAAATGGGGATCTGTGTTCAAACTTATTCCTATATAACAGTGTAAAAGATCATGTTGAATCCATTGCTAGGTCTACTGCTAGGAAAGTTGCTTCATTGTGTCGTACGAGACAATTTTTTCTCTCTAGAATTAATCTTACATACTTATAAGTGAATTTTCTAAAGAAATGAATGTTTTTTTTTATTAATCCGACATATTTTTTATCACTTTAAACGTTATTATCAATGGATACTCGTATCTGAGTAGACGCTCCGTTTGTCTATTTATTAGACAGTATATTTGCATTATTGACATTATTCGGACTGTTATTCTCATCTCCACTGCCATATCCCCAACGTTTCAGCTATTCTACGCACCGGCCTTAATCAGATGATTGGAATTTCGAACCGAACCCTTTATTTCGTCGACCGGGGAAGATTGATCTAGTTCCACGTGCCATGCCTCTTCCGGATGTTTCAGTTATTTCCGTTTAACTCAACTCTTCAAGTGTTTGGTAGGTCACTGCTGTGGCTTGGTATTGAACTGACAACTCTTTCGGTCTAATCCCTGGATTTAACCAAGAAAGAACCAAGTCCTGCTGAAAGTGAAGGCTAGACAACTTCTGACAGCAGGAGTTGCCCAATCTTCTCTTTTCATTCTCGATAGAGTCCAAGAGCGTCCATATAAGTGATGAATTTTTCCACCGTACAATTCATTTCCCATAGTCAAAACGTCGCAAGCCTCTCGCTGCTTGATCGCTATTTCCATGGAAAATGTTCAGGCCAACTACATTCCTTAGGTCCTCCAATTCTAACCTTCACGGCTCTCCAGAGAGAGAAAAAAATTGTCCCGTACGACACAGTGAACCAACTTTCCTAGCAATAGAGCTAGCAATTGATTCAATATGATCTTTTACACTGTTATATAGGAATAAGTTTGAACACAGATCACCATTTCTATTCTATCCTCTATTACTATCACTCTTTCTACACTATCCTCTATATCTATATATGCTCTGCCACGCACACTGTAGCAAACCATCGTCTTTCCCTTTGTATTCCATTGATGAGATGTAAGTTCCACTCGAGCAGATTCTTCCCACAAACCGACTCCCAAGATGATGCTTTCCCGATCACTACAGTCTTAACCGAGGTTTAACCTTTATCTTCCACATATTTCCGGGTGAGTTGTGCCCCTTTCTCTGTAATTGTCCATAGTATCCAAAAATGGCATCGTGGATGGCGAATTGTTTTCAAACCCTTTCTCTACCATTACAAGAGATCAAACCGAAAATAAAGTTCTGTTACTATATATGGGCCGGCGCTTGTCTTCACTTGTAAGTGAGGAATTATTTTCGAACCTGCAAGCCCTCACCCATAGACAAAACGTGCTCTTCCTGCTCTATTGCTATTTCCATGGAAAATGTTCAGACATTCCTTAGTTCCACCAGTTTCAACCGTCGTGGCTAAAAGACGCCAATTGCAACGAAAATGTCTCCGCGTCTTTGTGGGTGGCGAATTGTTTTCAACCTCCTTTCCCACAGACGAAAAATCGCGAGCCTCTCACTGTTCTATCGCTTCTTCTGTGGAGAATGATCAGATGAACGGTATTCCTTAGTTCCACCGGTCTTAATCTTCACGTCTAAGACCCGCCATACCACGCACCATGTAGCGAAATACCCTCATTCCCTTCATATTCCATTGGTGAGATGTGAGTTCCACTCGAGCAGCTTTTTCCCACGAACAATTATGGAACCGACTTCCAAGAGGATGCTTCACCGATCACTACAATCTTAATCTGTTCAAGTCTAAGGTTAACCGCTATCTTCCCCACGTATCCCCATAAGCTGTGGCACTTCCTCTGTAACCTTGCACCTGCTTTGTGGAACCGACTCCCAAGGGAATGCCTTCCCGATCGCTTTAATCTTAACCTGTTCAAGTATAGGGTTAACTGTTATCTTCCCCGCTTATCCCTATAAAATGTAACCCTGTACCTGAGGATATTATTCTAAATTGTTTGTGAAATAACCATATACGGTTCTGGATGTCAACTTCTTTTCTCCAAGTATAAAAAGTATCTGAAAATGAATCCATATAGAAACAAAATAGAAAAATTAATTGGTTCATTAGGTACACAAGAAAAGAAAGACTCTTACATTGTATGAAATTGAACGGAAATAATTTGTTTATTTACAACATCTTTGTCTGCCCTGGGTATGACGATAAACTACATCCGGCAGCAAGGCCTCTGATCGGGAGATTGGCGATTTTGAGCGTGGAACAACCTCTTAACTGCTGTTGTTCCCAGGTTCACCCTGACCTGAGGTGGTAGCACCTGTTAGTGTCCCAGCTATGGTTAAATAGTTAACCCCCAAACTGAGGTCAAAACATTATGAAAGTATAAAAATAATACCATCAATTCATTAAAAAAAAAATATTACCAGCAACACATTTTTGAAAAAAATAATTATCAGCAATACATTTGACTCTATAAAAACCCTCTTTACAAAAATACGCCAATGAAAGCTGATCTATAAACTGATTTCTTACAAAGAATACATATTCAATTTATACGGATCTATTTACCTTATTGGGACTATTGTCCTCATCTTTGTCGCCATGTTTATCACAACGTTTCGGCCGTTTTACTCTCCGGCCTTCTTGAGGTGGTTGTAAATAATGTACATAATACCTCATCTCAGAAATATAGACTTATACGGATCTATTCTAAAAATCTTGTTGACATTAAATGACCCATTGAAGTTGATATGGCATAAAACAAAATAAAACCAAACCAAATCAGACTCTCTACAAAAACATTCTTTACAGTAATACGTCAATGAAACCTGATCTACAAACTGATTTCTTACAAAGAATACATATTCTGTTCCTACGAACCTATCTTTGTCAGCAATACATTTGACTCTCTACAAAAACATTCTTTACAGTAATACGTCAATGAAACCTGATCTACAAACTGATTTCTTATAAAGAATACATATTCTGTTCCTACGAACCTATCTTTGTCAGCAATACATTTGACTCTCTACAAAAACATTCTTTACAGTAATACGTCAATGAAACCTGATCTACAAACTGATTTCTTATAAAGAATACATATTCTGTTCCTACGAACCTATCTTTGTCAGCAATACATTTGACTCTCTACAAAAACATTCTTTACAGTAATACGTCAATGAAACCTGATCTACAAACTGATTTCTTATAAAGAATACATATTCTGTTCCTACGAACCTATCTTTGTCAGCAATACATTTGACTCTCTACAAAAACATTCTTTACAGTAATACGTCAATGAAACCTGATCTACAAACTGATTTCTTATAAAGAATACATATTCTGTTCCTAATGAACCTATCTTTGTCAGCAATACATTTGACTCTCTACAAAAACATTCTTTACAGTAATACGTCAATGAAACCTGATCTACAAACTGATTTCTTATAAAGAATACATATTCTGTTCCTACGAACCTATCTTTGTCAGCAATACATTTGACTCTCTACAAAAAACATTCTTTACAGTAATACGTCAATGAAACCTGATCTACAAACTGATTTCTTATAAAGAATACATATTCTGTTCCTACGAACCTATCTTTGTCAGCAATACATTTGACTCTCTACAAAAACATTCTTTACAGTAATACGTCAATGAAACCTGATCTACAAACTGATTTCTTACAAAGAATACATATTCTGTTCATACGGGTCTATTCTAAAAATCTTGTCGGCATTAAAACCCGTTGTGGTTGATATATCGTAGAACAAAATAAAAGATTATAAATTCTTACTGATAATATTCTTTTGAACACCTAATAAATTTAAGCTGGGTAGAGAAAAATTGTTTCTATGAAAGAGAGACTTCAATCAAGTGTCATATGCGATGCTCTCTAGGGCAGCCATGTCTACTTCGATTTTTAACTGACAATCGTAGAAAAAATTTCTGCTGTAAGTTATCGTTCCTTTCTGCAGTAGACTATTTGCTAACGAAGTCTATAAGACCTAGTCTCTGCTGCTATTTAACCTGTATAGGGGGAAGAGATAGATACCTACCACTCCCAAGAGTATTGGTGCGTAAATGAATTCAACGAACCCGATTGGAATTCGAACTCGGCTCACTTATTTCGCAATCCGAGCCGATATCATTACATCACAGCGTATTAAAAGAAACGATAAAGTTCTTGGTAAAGATCAAGAGTTGGGAGGTCAAGCGTAGTCGAGGCGAAGAACGTTCTTGATGAGTAAAGACGAATGAGGAATTTTGATAGCATCGTCTGCTTGAAAGCAATTTCCAAAGAATAAACTGCCAGTTTTTACTTTCTGTTAGGTTGTCCGATATTTTTAGTTGGCTGTGAGATGCTTTAGT